GCACCACAGATGGAGAAAAAAGCTGAATGTATGGATAAAAATGAAGAAGAATATCGCAAAGCAACAACAATACATTTTTACATACCTTCAGCTCCATCCAATTTAACCCTAATTGCCATCCTTAGTTTAGGCTCAGTTACAAACCCAAAGATTAGGTAATAATTGATTAAATGCAATGCTCATCAAAGCTATGATTCAAAATAGATATTTCTTTGCAGTTTATACTGACAAATTTGAAAAATCAGTCAAAAATAAGCTCTTTTATTTATTTTTTCTTTTTAAATTGTCAAGTGTCAGTCTATTTGATGTTTACAGATGGAAGTAATTAACTGCATTCTTCAATTTAAATGACAAAATCTGTCAGAAAACCTGCAGCTAAAAAGCCAAGCATTAGGTAGGCTCCGTGCATAGTAAACACTCGTGATGGATTCGAAAACTCCAACTGGATTTATTTGTCATATCTGTTTGATCTCTCAGTAATGCCGATATGCATCCAATCTCATTGTCATTTGTCAAAGAAGCCAATTGTAACATTATTAGCAACGGCAACTTGATATTTAAAATGTGCCAATCTTACCCCAGCTCAATGCAGAATCCATATTAAAATGTCATTCCTATATTTGATTGCGTTTATTTCTGACAGTGAATATTATTATCATCCTCCAGTCACTTTGATTAAAAACAAATACGATTCCAATCAATGTGTGGAAGGCGTATATGAAAGGAAATACTAGGGAAGGATATTTCTGTAAAATTAGACACAAAAAAGTCACAATAAAGCCCATCAATGCTGCCGACACATAAAAGCATCACTATGAGAAAAAAAAGTTACAGAATTATGTCTGTTTCACTTTTTTTTTTTTAAATTAAGTTTAATATTTTTAAATGAATAGACACTTCAACTGAGTGCAAATAAAACGAGACGGATTATCTAAAAGCCTTATCCAAGAGACAAAATAACTAGGACTGAATCACACCAGTCGTCCTGAGCAAATCCTTTGTGTTGCCATGGCGCTGGGAGTAAACACCCAATGGCCTGTGATTTCCTGGGAGTCATTAGCATGGAATAGGTTTGCAAGCCACTGCAACCTTGTGACCTGACTCTATAACTCATGTCACACGCTGATGATGTAATTCATCAATGGGGTCCACCGGCAGCTCGGGCAAAGGGGCTGCAGGTTCAGTGGGTGGAGAGGAAGCGGCAGAGCGGGAAAAAGCGGTAGGGGGATGCACGGAACAGCCGGGATAATGATCGGGCTGTGGGATTTGATGACGGCTGCAAATAGGTGTCAGGAGAGTACGAAAGTGATATATAGCAAACTGGATGTTGAATGAGTAGATAGGAATCGGTGCGGGTGAAAGGTGTGGTACGGAGTAAGAGTGGTCCACCAGTAGTTGTGGTTATTGTGCGTGGTGAAATGCCAAGCTGGGCTCAGGGGGGGTTTAAGGACCATACACAGCAGATGATAGAGCTACCTCAGCTTGTAATGTTCAGCCACCACAGGGGCCATTACATCCAGCACTATCAGAGAGCAAAGAGCACATCAAACCCTGTAATTTAGCCAGCAGTCGCTCACACATGCACACTAAGCTCGATTCTCGATAAATGACAGAAGCTAATCCACCTGTGTTTGTGCTGATGTTTGGCAGAGCTTTTCTTTTTCTTTTTTTTTTTTTTTTTAGGTCAGATTGTAGGAACTGGACAACACGTGCATGAGAACAGCACGCCCTTCTGCCATTAACAGGTTTCACCATAATTAACATAGCCGTTTCGATCGGAGACCGGCGCTGCCCGGACAACAAATTGAAACCGCTCATTTCGGTCTCTAATTATTTATAGACTGTTTTACGTTTTGCGGTCAATCCTCTTTTAAGGATATTGGCCTCAGTGTTTGTAACTGAACATATTGAGTGAATCCAAAGCTAGTGGGGAATTTATCAATACCATCTTTGATCTTGGGTTGTGTTTGTGTTTCATCCATTAAATAACCATGTCGTACTGTCTCCTGAGGGCACAGAAGGACATCTCCAGGAAGAAAGGCGTTGAAGATAACTCAGACTGTGTGATTTTTGTTTAATATTTATTGGCCTTTCCTCTTCTTATGTCAGATTTTTGGGTGATTTACCAACATGTATGTTTTTTTTTTTACTGTGGCAATTAACATTAAGAGGTTACTCAGAGGTCTAAACAGCCATTCTCCAATTTCACGGCTGCTGCAGCCTTGTAACCACTAGGCCCACCATGTCGGCTCGCTTCTCATGTCTGTATGTGTGTGTGTGTGTGTGTGTGTGTGTCACCATTGCCACCACACACCATTTTCTAAAGCTGAGATTTCAGTGTGCCATGCTTTTGAGAAAACTGCCACAGCGTAAAGTGTGGGTGGCCTGCAGTCTTAGTCATAAAAAATATGTGTGTGTATGTCTGGGAAAGGAGGGTCAGCAAGAAAGGCAAGAGAGAGGGTTGAGGACAAGGTAAGGTTATATACAGTGTACATGTTTGTATGTGAGTTAAATGCTCTTCGCTGTGTGCGTGCTCGGCTGTGCATATGTGCAAATGCATGTGCGTCTTGAGATTGCAGGAGGGTGATCATCTGACACGGGGAGGCAGGGCGTGGGGGAATGAATGAGGGCTAGAAAGAGGTATGAGCTGCACAAAATAGGATTTTTTTTTAGTGTCGTGTCTATGTGGTCAGAGTAAATCTCCTTACTCAGGGGTTTTGTGTGTGAGGGGGGCTTTAACGTCCCCACTCTCCTTGATGAGACATCTTTCTTGTTTGTTCAAACCATTCATTACGTGGTGGCTGTTGGACGAGCTGTGCCGCTGGCCGGCGTATTTATCACCGGGCTAGAGCGCGCTCTGGCTGACAGTAGGCGATTGATGACCGGGTCTGGGCCTGAGAGGCTGAGGAAGCCTTAATACAATGTAAATGACCCACTCCTATTTCCAATCTAGGCTGCTCCTATCCCCACACTTCCATACCACATCATCTTCAGCCAAGTCTCCGTTTGTGCATGTTGCTGCACATGTGTGCGCAGGTTTGTGTACTTTGTGTACATTAAAAAGAGAGTGGGAGGCAGTGTGTGTTCTGTTAAATTTGCAAGCGTGTTTTGATGGTGACCGAGGTCACGTGAAAACACAAAGGAAGCCCAGGAGTGTAAGGGGGAGGGAAAGAGAGGCTTGCACTCTTATTACATGTTGTTGTCCAGAGAACACACACAAACTCGCATGTACACAAAGATGTAGATATGTATATATTTTCCTTTTGACATTGTGCACACTGTGCCTGTTCTGGGGCATATTTGTACACACATTCATATCTACATACACATGCACACACACACAGTAACTCTGTAACTCTGTCTTCTCCAGCCAAGGAAATGTCAGCACCTGGCAATCAAAAAATGTATTTCTATGCAAGCATTATCATCTTTCCTTTGTTAATGATTTTAGCATATTAAAAGGGACTAAGTACACAAGTACAAATCTGATTAATCCTTCTCTGCAGCCGGGAGTCATTATTTGTCCAATCTTAGCCTTGTTTGTTATTAATTGTGCACATTCCTCAAACCATTTTTTCATCTCGCCTTTAATTAAAACAGACTACATTTAAACAGACAGGGCTACCTGAAAGGAGAAATCCTCCCTCTCTGCTGATATGAATTCTCAATTACACCAATTATTTCAGCAGTAAATGAGAAAATGCTTCTTGAGCAACTGTTATCATTTCAAGTTAAAACTGAATTCAATTAACACAAGCCAGGCGTGCATTACCGACTATAAAATTTGCCTCCTCAATAAGTATGGGGAAAGGAAGGAGTTGAAAGGGAAAGTTTTTGAAGACTGAAGGCATTTTCCTCAGGGTACAATGTGTTTTTAACGGAGCTTGAAACCACCTGAAATAGAGGAGGATTTAAACATCACCTTTAAAAAGGGATTTTTCAGTGTTTTGATTTGCAGGTGTCTCATCTATGAATATGTCTATGTGTCCGTGTGCGCTTCTGTTTACACATGCTTGTATGCATGTGTAACTCCGTGTTCACGCATGCTCTCTGTTTGCAGCGGCTGAATGAAACACATAGTGTCTCATTTGTTTCGTTTGCGTGCGCCCCGACTCCTAATCTGGCCCTTAAAGACATCTGTCACCAGCGATCACTGTTGTTTTGTCATGCTTCATAGCAGGCCCAGGGGGAGCAAGGCAGCCCAAGGTCTGCCATTTATATCAGCCAATGTTGTCTAGATTGAACCTGACACAAATAGTATCATTGCAGTCCTTGTTGGAGAATTACATTTTAAAGGTAAAAATCTTGGCAAGGCCGTGGACGAGATTTCACAGCATTCTGTTCTTTTAGCATTAGTCTGTATTCAGCTGCTCTCTATGAAAGAGCCACCACCAGGATGCATGTCAGACATTCAAGGAAAGATAAATGTATTCACTGCAAATCTGCACCCACTCATTCTGTTGCCTGGTATTATGAAGGGATTCTCAGACACCACAGTATCTGCATTAGGCCTACTGGAAAGTCTTGTCGTCAAAGTGTACGTGATCGTACGGGGCCTTTCTTTTCTGTTTGTAGCGCGTATGCTCAGTAGGTGCACTATATGTTGTTTGTGTGTGGGCGGGGTGGGGACAGGGATAGGGATGGGGGTTATCACAGTTGACAGTTTTGACAAACTTGTTTGGCCAGCTCTGACAGGTTCAGCACTGAATTGAGTGTGTGTGTGGGTGGGTGGACACGTGTATGCTGCGAATGTCTATACTGTGCAAGGGAGAGGCAGGGTTGGGTGGAGGTCATGAGAAGGTGCAGTCTTAGGTTACACAATGCAACAAACACAGGAACATATTGAATGCATACAGTAATAGGCAGCAGCCAAGAACCTGACTCAGAGCATGTGCTCCCTTTCCAGTGCTTCTCTTGATGAGCGCTTACATGCGTGAATATTTATGTTAATCTGCGTGTCCAAGAGTCTCATGTGTTTCTCTCTCTGTTTGCTCCTGCAGCACCCATACCCTTCTGAAGAGCAGAAGAAGCAGCTAGCCCAAGACACAGGCCTCACCATCTTACAAGTAAACAACTGGTGAGTCAAGATTTCCGCTTGCCCTATCTCCACCACCAGCATCGCTCTGCCTTTTATTTTCAAAAGCCTTCGCCTCCCTCTCCCCACCAGCCAAGACGGCTAATACTCCTAAACTGTGAAAACCGTTTATGTGCATCCCTCCCCGTCGCGTATAGACACACACGGAAGGTGCACACATGGATGTACACACAGACAACCTTTGTAACATTATTATATGTAAGCTACCAGGATGTTCCGGTGTTATCGGTAGAGTGTTCTGCGGCTAAGTCAGTGGTCTTTGTGGTTTGATGCACATGTATTCAGTGGGATATATTTAAGGAAGACAGGCAGATATCATAAGCTACCCCTACAGCCCCCATGCCCACCCCACCCCTTCATCCAAAAAAACCATACCTACTACCGCCACCGGTGTCCCCACAAAGAGCAAAAACTGCCTTCCACCCCCTCCCCGTTCTACACGAGCTATATGGTGGATTAAGGTTTCGGTGGCCTGGCCAGCAGGGCCTTTGTAGATGGCTTAGCACATAACTGGGGGTGGTGGATTAAATAAAATGATCACAGAAGCAAAGAAATGATACAGGAATTACTTATCAAAATACTAGCCCAGGTTTTATCTGCGGCTTAATTTTGTTCAGTACATTCTCAGGGTGATGTTCAGATTAATTGAACTGACAGCTTCCTTTCAAAATTCTGGGAAGGTATTTGCACGGATTTCAGGTCTTACACAAACTTAATTATATGGAACCCCATTTTATCATTCTAATTCCATGTAGCGGGGTTTCTATTTACAAATGACAAGTCTGTGCCTTTTATTCACAGCTTTCCTTAATATATTTATCAAAGCGGGTTCATTTACAAAGTGCTCTATCTGTTGGGTACAGGCAGGCCGACATTAACGAAGCTTTTAGGTTTATCAGACTCGCAGCCTGACAAGCCACCCGAGGGTCAATTGATTTTTTGGTTCTGTGATTCATTTTTTTCTCATTTTTCCTGGATCACAATGAGAAACATGCCTGGAGAATTAGCCTGGTTTGTCGGCCTTATCTATCAGCCCCCTCTCTCGTCCTCCACCCCCCTTCCAACCTGACATACTCTCTCTCTCTCTCTCTCTCTCTCTCTCTCACCCTTTGCTTTATTCCCTTCTAGCCAGGGGAAGTCAAGCTACTTAAATTGGCCACAGGAACCGCTGTTATCAGACTTTAATGCACCCTACAGTGTGGATAGCATTTCAATTACACCAGTAACCAAAGATTAGCCCCCGCTTGCCTGTTTCATGCCTCGTGCCACCGTTTCGGGACGCCATGCACCTTACCTACAGGAGCAGAAAATTGAGTTGCCTTGCCTGTGTCATGGTGATTAATGCAGAAATACTCTACTAACCTGGGAGGAGAGGGAGAGGGAAATAGACAGAGACATAGAAAGAGATAGATATAGGAAGAGTCCCTAGTCTTCTCATTGGCCGTGAAATCCAAGCCCAGCACTGAAATGCCTCCGATCCATCTGGTCTGAAAGAATCTTGCACTGGATGTGTAACATCCTCATGAGCCTTTTTCCCATACACACATGCAACACATGCACATAAACATGGAGTGTCATGGAGCTGTGTATTACCATTACACCCACCATGTCAACAAAAACTCACCGGGAATCAGTTTTCACAAATAAAGTCATTGAGGCGGCTTGGACTGTCGAGTCTATCTGTGGTATGTTTTGGATGTTGTCAACACACCCAGAGGATGCTGCCATGTTATTGGCTACTTTACAGTGAGGGAAAGATGAGAAGGCGAGGGGATGCAGAGGTTTTCCACTTCTCACTCTCCAGGCAGGATAGTGACTTACAGCTAAATGTATCTTTGTTTGCTTTTCCTCCTTGATTTCTGGATGTGAGTGGCTGTCCACGCCGAATATGACAGAACTGTGCTATATGAAATTCCTGATTTAAAAAAAAAAAAAAAAAACAGCTCTTCAAATTCCTGGCTGGCCCCTTGCATTGTTCTGTAGCTCCCTTTGATGCATGGTTGCTGCCATGTTACCGGCCAAGAGAGGGAGAGAGATAGAGGCAGACGGAGGGAGGGAGAGACAGAGGCAGAGGATGAGTGTGGGGTGGGGTGGGGGGTAGAAGGGAGGGGACGGCTGCCGTCTTCGGTTTCCAGAGCTCTCCCTCGGGGAAAGGATGTGCTGAATCAGGGCTTTGTCCGCCGGCACAATCGCAGCCCAGCGAGGGCACAACGGTGCTCTGTGTGATAGTCAATAGACAGTGCATCTTGCTCTCTCCCCTCTTGCCCAATCAAACCTCCCCGAGCCGTACCCTCCAACTGACACCTCCCTTAACGTTTACCTGCAGCTCACCTGTACGCACAGAGCTCAGCTGGTTTGCCTCAGAACCGCAGACACAGACGCTCCTCCTGGTCGTACATGCAGTCCGTATCATTAGCCAACAGCCTCACCTGTTTGTAGCCCACACCCCATTAGCTGTGTGATGTTAATAAGGAGTCAAGGAAAAGGTTAAAGTCCACAATTTCACCGCGCTGGTGTTGAGCAGATGAGGTGGAGGACTTGATTATGCTGTTAATAGTATCCCCTGTGTTCAAAAGTGTGTGTGTGTGTGTGTGCACGCTTTGCACATTATTACTAATGGGAAACCGTGCACTCTCACTATCTACAGAGATGTCATGTGTGTACAGTGTGTCAGGACGCCATTAGTTGACCATTAGGTAGCGCGGTGTTTTGTTTGCTCTGCTTACATTTGAGACAGCAGGCGTCATGCTAACAGAATCGGGGGAGTGGTCTGACATGTAATTGCATTAGTTTGAGATTGCAGGTAAAGGTGAGGGCCGTGTCACACATGGCATTCTGGGAAAGTGGAGTAGGTGAAACGGCAGACTCAGGTGTTCATACGCCGAAGAAGCGTTTATAGTTTACAGTATCTAGCGGGATATTTGCCTGCCTCAGCAGCTCCTGGTGTCCTGCTATCAGTCTGGGCTAAATGGAGCCTGACCGAATCCTTTTATGTCTCAGCGTCAGACCCAGCACGATGTGCCCTCACTCACTGCCATAAACACACACAGCAACTATCCTGCCGTTATTTACCACTGCAGCGATGCTTATACACATGCTCATACATGCATATAACCGTGCACACACACACACACACACACACACACACACACACACACACAGGGTTATTACATGGGCCTGGGAGATGACGCCGATGACAGATGACTGAGAGAAACAGCATCTAAAAAAAGGAAGGAAATCGTCCCGTCATTATTCCCTCATCTCAGAGGCAGCCAGTTGGTCATTTCCATGGCAGAGAGAGAGAGAGAGAGAGAGAGTAGAGAGAGAGAGAGAGAGAGAGAGGAGCGAGGCAGAGCAAGTCGAAGAACGAATATGTCAGTTCTTGGCATCTATGATGACTGACTGCTGTGCCACTGGAGCACTAATAACAATAAAGAGGGCACTAAGCCACACTCTATTTTTACTTCTCTGCCTCCTCTCTACAGCCCAGGGGGGACTACATGCACAGACGCATACACACACATACACAGACACACACTGGGGAGAGGCTCTAATTAGCGGCAGAAAGGAATACAATGAGTGAGTTATTAAGACACAGGGGCGGATCGCAGCCAACCTTTGCCCCGTGTCGGAGCACAGGTCACATGATAAGGGAAGGATATCCGCCAGACGACGGCGCCAAGCAGCCTGTGCCCACTGAGGAGATGAAATAGGCTCAATCTCTGCAGCCGTTCGGGGCAGGGCACGGTGCATTGATTGTTTTTTTTTTTTTTCGGCTTCTTTTTTCTTTTTTCTTTGAATCTGTCCTCACTCGGAGGACAAACTCCACTTTGAGTTACAGTCCTCATATCACTTAATATCCATTTAGAGGTTCCACTGTTTCGAAACCGAGCAACAGTAGAACAAGCTCATGTGACTAAACTACCAAAACTGTAGGAGTGCAAACAGTCCGTGTGTAGTAAATGGTCATGAAGACAACAGGTATATTTGGGTAATAAGACCAAAAGAGAGATGTTGAAAGGATACTACGTGTTTCAGTAGTCATTACAATCATATACCTTTTCCACCTTAGCCCATCTATGTAAAATCCTGCCTCTCCCTGAGATTGTGCCCTGCTCGGCATGCAGATAAACTGCGTTTAGATAACTCTAACCTGACTGCTCTGTAGCTCTCTTCACAGCAGGTTCCCCATTCCCATTCAGATCTTCTCTTTCCCCTTCTCACGTTCTTTGCTTGGAGTTTTTATCGCTCACAACAGAGGTACAAAGAAACCGTGCTGCAGGTTCACGTGCAAACGATAATGCACATTTGTTTGTAGCTGGTATCTGAGAACAAGAAAGAAAAAAAACAAAGTCAAATTTGTTCCTCCACTTAGAAAAGCATTTTCCACTCCCTTTCTCAGTCCAATGAGACACTTAGGAACACAGGCTTTTATGATTTTTTTATGATTCTCTGGTTTGGCAGACGAGTCCATTATGAAATGCAAAATAATAACTAATATTTTCCAAATGTAACATAAAGTTATGAGACTGGCCTAGCCGCCCGCTTTTTTTTCCCACATTCTTTCTAAGTATTTAAATCTCATGAATCTCGCACAGAGGCTTTTGAGGTCCTTTTTCCCTCTCCATACTCTGCTCCATATCTCTGCCTATTCCCTCGCTTTCTCTGTCTCCTCCTTTCTGCCACATTGGTGGGCTAGTTGACTGAGTTGCTGGTTATCTGTCTAACTTTGACCTAGATGGAAATGTCATGCCTTTTTTTGGCTGCAACCAGGGACTCCCAGCAGTGGCCATCTCGTGCCCCTAGCATTCTAAATATACAGCTGGAGTGTGGAGAGGTTGCGAGTGTGTGTGTGTGTGTGCGCCTCTCCGGTGTGTCTGTGTGCGCAAGCATGAGTGTATATGTGCGTTTAACTAAAAAGAGAGACTATCAGGGCGCTGCCAACACAGGCATCATGATCCCTCTCATTTAGGGACCGCTAA